GTATGAACATAGATAGAAATTTGTTTAACAAAACAAACTATTAGAAGTCAGATCTGGCAGTATGCAGAAAGTGGTTTTCTTATAGTGTTGGTTCAGCATCAGAAGATCCATCCCCAACAGTCATCATTTTAACAGAAGAAAGGAAAAAGCCATATGACCCTGTCAGTAGTTGCAGAAAAAGTATTGGACTAAATTCTAAAGCTGTCCATGGTAAAAGCTATCAGGAGACTAGAAGTAGAACAGAACCTTCTCAACAGATCAAAGACATGTACTCCATACTTCCAGCAAAAATGCCTTATATGAATGGACAAGATACAGTGCTTTCTCCTTAAGCTGGGGAACAAGGGCATATGTGCCTTCTCTTCATCTGTCCATTAAACTTTGAAACATAGGCCCAAACCAAAATAGTCTGGAAATAAAATGACACAATTAGGATAGGATTGACAAGGTAGAAGTAAAATCTTTATATATGGATGAAATGATCATCTACAGAGGAAATACTAAGAAATCTCTAGGAGCCCCTAGAACCTGTATTTGAATTTAGCAGCATTAGAAAATACAATATATATATAAAAATTCAGGTCTGTGTATACTTGCTATAAATGAAGAATAAGGACCTGATTTTTGATGTGCATTGGATAAGTGTGAATTACCACTGATTTTGGCAAGTGTGTGGGTCACGCTAGAATGTGGTTGCAATTCCACTGATAAGCATGATGTTTTCCTCTATCCTTGCCCAACCCAAGGAGTCCTACTCAAAAGTTGTAGAGATGGCAGGTGTGTTCCCTGTTGTCTCCATTATGTCCATGCCTAGGATAGAGATCCAGGAGGAGTTGCAGGTCTCCTCACTGGCTAATAAGCATTCTTTTACAAGGTTTTGCCCTTGGAGATCTTCAGGCTTCCAGGTAGTGTACATGGACCTTGAAATGATACCTGCTTAGGTATGTAGTAGGAGACATAGTCCATTTTGGTTTCCATAATGTATGGTACAGATACAGGCTGCGAAATGCCCTTGAGACTTGAAGGCTCTTCAAGGAGCACTCTCTGATAGTGCACGTGTAGGACCACATCACAGTGCAGGGCATGGAATCTTCACATCCAGAGTGAGGCTATTTCTTTTT